ACAACAGGCACCGATTGGGGAAGTTTTCTATATAGAGGGAGCAAGTAGCTACAAGTAGGACAGTGGGGCTTTAAGTTCAAATTTATTATCATCATTTAATATGAGAAACCATGAGAGACACTTGCATATATTAGATTGGCAACATAAATTGGATATGATGAAAACAATTTATTTCAAACTACTTGTTTTTTTAAGTCGGTAACTTATCACATTTGATATATAATAGCAAACTGGTTTTCTTTATACACTATATATATACAAGGTAAAAACTCTATGAACAATCGATATAGACAACAGCTTTAAAGAGAGAGAAGATTATAGGGCTACAGAGCAATAAACAAAACAAAACAAGAAAGAAAATATAATGAGTTTGATACAAGATACACTAAACACACAGTTAGGAGGTAAGGACACCCTGTTTTAACATCTTTGCTGATAAAATCTACAACTTGTATCCAAGACAAATATGCCCAACTTTGACAAAAGGAAGCAAACCGGAATAAACAGACAATTAGCTTTCAGATTTCCCCCGTTAAAACAGAGGAATCTTTCCAACACTACAGCTTTCTTCCATTATAAAACATGAAATGATGCTCAATACATTCTAATTGTCCTCAATTCCAAAATTTTGGGGCATCTTCCCATTATCTTTTGACAAATGTACATGTGTAAGATGATTGCATCCTTTTCTCAACGTAGGGCAGAGATTATTTAATTAATATCAATAGTAATAATAATAATAATGTAACTTATATCGCGCCAAATCCACTCTGTGGAGTGCTCAAGGCGCGTGTAAACAGGAAAAAAGATCAAGACTTGAAAAGAAATGTTTTGAGATGAGTTTTGAAAGAATCAGAGGATAAACATTTTTTGATGTCTTCAGGAAGGCCATTCCATAATTTAGGACTAGAGTATGCAAAAGATCTTTCCCCCCACGTTTTGGTAATTTTGGGGGTTACAAGAAAATTGGAAGTGGATGAGCGTAGAGGTCTTGCAGGAGTGTAGTTTTGGATTAGAGAGATAAGGTATTGAGGAGCAGAGCCGTGAACGCAATGAAAGGTGAGCAACAAAATTTTGAAAACAATGCGATCTTTTACTGGGAGCCAGTGTAGCGACTGCAAAACTGGGGGAATGTGGGTACGCTTGGTGGTCAGAGAAACAATACGAGCTGCAGCGTTTTGAAGCTTCTGAAGCTTGGACACTAGATTCTGGGGTAGATTGATTAGGAGGGCATTGGCAAAATCAAGACGGGAGGAAATCAGAGCATGAACTAATTTTTCGGTGGCAGACTTGGACAAATATTTACGAATAAAACCGATATTACGCAAGTGGTACCTTACAGATCTACAAATATTAAGAACTTGGTTAGACATTGTCATATGTGAGTCAAACATAACACCGAGATTGCGACACGTTTGTGACAAGTGAATTATGTGGCCAGAAAATGAAATGCAATTGATATTAACTTTACTAAGCTGTACTTTGGAACCAAATATAAGGAATTCACATTTGTCTAAATTTAATTTCAAGGAATGTGCGAGCAACCAATCAACATCAGCCATGCAAGATTCAAGGCGATGAACGGCTCGTTCTGCAGCGGCTTGATCTGAATTGAAGGAAATCATAAGTTGAATATCGTCTGCATAAATATGATAATCTATGCCATGTTGTAACAAAACTTGTCGCAATCCAATTAAATAAATTGAGAAAAGAGTGGGCCCGCCCACAGAACCTTGTGGTACTCCACAAGAGAGAGGCAAAGCAACTGATTTGCAACCATTAATACAAACGATCTGAGAGTGGTATGACAGATAAGACTCGAACCATTTGTATGCCTCACCCTTGACACCAAGTGAACTAAGTGTGTTCAAAAGGATAGTGTGATTAACGGTGTCGAAGGCGGAGGACAAGTCTAGCAGCAGGAGAGCAGTTGAGTTACCCCTATCCATCCCTTGCAGGATATAGTTGGACACATTCACAAGCAGTGTTTCCACACTATGATGGGTTCTGTAACCTGACTGGAAAGGGTCGAACAAATCATTGTCCAGAAAATAATCCGAAAGACGAGAAAACACAACCCTTTCAAGAATTTTGAACAAAAACGGTAGGTTTGAAACTGGTCGATAATTTTGGAGGGAATTTCGGTCCAGAGAAGGTTTCTTCAACAACGGAGTAACATGAGCTATTTTCAATGAGGAAGGAACATGTGCCTGCTCTAAACTCAAGTTAATCAAGTAAGAAAGGATGGGAGCGAATGTGGAGGAACAGTCCATTAATAATTTAGTGGGAACAGGGTCTAACTGACATGATTTGGGGGGTAGTTTACGTAAGAGTGACATAATCTCATTGGGGGTAGTAGGTTGTATTACTTCAAAGGAAGAGGAAGTAAGGGGATGGTGTGGTGTTTCGTCAGGTGATAAACTGTCGCAGATGGTCTTGACTTTCGTCTGGAAGAAGTGGATGAATGTAGAGGCCATTTGCTGGCTATCCGTGTGGGCTGGAAGTGATGGTAACTGTCGACGATTCAGAAGTCGGTTTGCTACTGAGAAGAGCTTTCTTGAATCATTCCGACAGTCTTCAATAAGATCTACAAAGTATGAGCGCTTCGCCTTTTTCACAAGTGAATTTACGAGGTCACGCTGGGCACAGTACAGTTCTTTGTCAGTCTGAAGTCGGCCATTGGCCCTCCATTTCCTCTCCAGTTGTCTACGTAACCTCTTCTGAGTACGAATGTCATTGGTATACCACGGACAGTCTGCATGATTCCTCACTTTCCGTGATCTCTGAGGGGCATGAGCATCTAGAACCCTCCCGAGTTCTAACTTGTATTGATGAACAGCTTCTTCAACACTACATGTAGCAGGAGCAGTGATGTTGCAGTCAGTAATGCTGTTCGCGAAGGTCTCTCTGTCAATATCTCTGATGTTGCGACTGACATATGTAGAGTGGGTCCGACTAGTCTTAGCGAAGTTTAGCTTCCATAAGATCGCAGAATGGTCGGAGATGCCAGGTATGACCTGAGGTTTCGAACACAGGATTTGATCATCAGCGTTCCGCACCATGACAACGTCCAGGATGTGACCCTTGTCATGGGTAGGAGATTTGACTAGCTGGGAGATGCCGTGACTAGTGAGAAGATCATTAAACTTTTGTGTGTTCGGTGCAGAGTTATTGTCGAAGTGAATGTTCAAGTCGCCGGTGATGACAAAAGGTGGAGTTCTGTACATTCTACCATCAAGAAAGTCAGAGAATTCTTCCAGTACACTTCTAGTACACTGCTACTACAAGAGAGAGACACAGTGCCATGATTGTATATAAGGAGTATATGAAAGCACACACTGTCTAAAGCATAATCGATCCATATACAATCTCATCTCTAAGATCCAAATTTTTGTCAAATTATATCACAAAAGAATCATAAAAATGTGTTATGATCCTATAGTTTGTGAAATGTTACATTCAGGTTTCATGTGAGCAGAAATAAATTTTATATTTCAGTTAGCTATTGTATTTAAACCTTGTTTATATTTATTATCAACATGTTGATAACCCGAAATGTTGTCATATATTTAGTGCAAGATCTCTAATTTTCTCTGACTTTTTTGTCTCTCTCTCTCTCTTCATCTCTCTTTCCCCATCTTTATCACACACACAATCAAAAATATCTCTCTCCTTCAATCTCTCTCTCACCCTCTCTCATACACAAACTACACACACAGACAGATCCCCTCTCTTTCAGTTTCAAAGAGAGAGAGAGAGAGAGAGAGAAAAGAATAAAAAGTAGGAGAGTAATAGATACTCCTAAAGGGAACATGTTGATACATGTACATACATTGGAGACAATACATCTGTAATAAGGATACGAGTCGGAGAGACATCAAACATTCGTAAAACACACTGGAAACTTTTATTGCAGTGTGAAAATACATTGTCCAATATTAGAAACCATAATGGTACTGGGCAAAACAGAATATATCAACAGCATTTTCCGGTTAAATAACCGACGAAAGAATAGGCGAAAAGAAATATTCATGAAATAGATAGTTCTCAACCAACTATAGAACAAAAAGAGAATTATATTAAACGGTTTAAAAAAATTCTGATCCAAAATTTACGATAAACTGTAAAAGCTATGATGAATATGCAAATCATCTTTATAATGACAATACTAATAATCAATCATTTCATTCAAAACCGACCAGGAGGATAACAAAACACATTTGGTTTCTAAAATATGCATGCTATTGAATTGTATATATATAGCACGGCCATTTTACAAATCTATGCGATAATACTTTGTAAGCTACGACAGAGTTTTGTTGCAAGGAATTGGCAGCAAATCTTTTCTCATCCTTTCAAGAGGCTCCGGTTCATACAAGGTTTTCTACAGCGGAACAGAATTGTGTAATATTTAAGTAAATGGACGCAACAGTGAATCTTGATGAAAGGCTGAAGTAGTATAGGAAATTTAAATAGTACACCATATACTCTTTAGTCAAGCCTGAGGCCCTATGCATGTCCATTTAAATATTAGATACTACACAAGCCACAGGATTTTACTCTTAAATTAAGAGGTTTTAGATAAATATTGGTGGCACCACGAGACAGTTTGATAACTCCACAGGTTTTCTATAGGGACAGTTCTTTGGATATAATTGTGGCATTGGCATTCTAATAGTTCTACTATATAGCCTGAGAAGCAGTATACCAGGGGTGATAGTGAGCACTAAAAAAAAAATAGGATTTTAGTTCCCCCCTCAACCACGCCCCCCTTGAGTAAAAAAAAAAAAAAAAGACGATTCGTGGGGAAAAAAATGGCATCTAACAACATTCCACCCTTTCGAGTAAGAAAATTGAGACAAAATTGGGAAAATTGGGGAAAAAATCGGGAAGAATAGAGATAATAAGAGGAAAATCGGGAAAATCAGGATAAAATAGGGAAGGGAAAAAAATAATTAATTTTTTTTTTTTTTTTTTTTAAATCGGGAAAAAAAAGTAATAATCGGGAAACCGATTTAAATCGGGTTTTTATCAGGCCTGGTAAACGCAAATTAATCTAGTGACTTCAAAGTGCTTCAATGTAATCAGTTTAAGCAGGTTTGAGCAGGTTTCTATAAATTCAATTCAGTATACACTGCACACGTTTCCAGTGCATTTTTCATTAAGTTCAATTGGATTATCATTTAATATGAGAAACCATGAGAGACACTTGCATATATTAGATTGGCAACATAAATTGGATATGATGAAAACACTTTATTTCAAACTACTTGTTTTTTTAAGTCGGTAACTTATCACATTTGATATATGATAGCAAATTGGTCTTCTTTATACACTATATAATATATACAAGGTAAAAACTCTATGAACAATCGATATAGACAACAGCATTAAAGAGAGGGAAGATAAAGAGGGGTTACAAAGCAAGAAAGAAATTAATCCAAGAAAGAAAATATAATGGGTTTGATACTAGATACACTGAACATACATATAGGAGGTAAGGACACCCTGTTTTAACATCTTTGCTGATAAAATCTACAACTTGTATCCAAGACAAATCTGCCCAACTTTGACAAAAGGAAGCAAACGGGGAAAAAAAAGACATTTAGCTCTCATATTTCCCCTGTCAAAACATAGGAGTCTTTCCAACACTAGGGCTTTCTTCCGTTTAAAACATGAAATCATGTTAAATACACTCTGATTGTCCACAATTTCAAAGTTTTAGAGCATCTTCCCAATATCTTTTGACAAATGTACATGTGTAAGATGATTGCATCCTTTTCTCAACATAGGGCAGATATTATGTAATGTTAATAATATCAATAGTACACTGCTACTACAAGAAAGAGACACAGTGCCATGATTGTATATAAGGAGTATATGAAAACACACACTTTTAAAAGCATAAACGATCCATATACAATGCCATCCTGTCAAATTTCTGTCAAATTATATCACAAAAGAATCATGAAAATGTGTTATGATCCTACAGTTCCTGTAATGTTACATTCATTCAAATTGTACTTCAAATAAATCAAGCTCCATTCCATGAATACATCTGTATATGCCTGTTAACACCTATTGAATGATATTTTTAAAACGGTTGTACTCTTTAGCAAATTAAATATTAAAGCATTGTTGTTTGCATGTACAATTGCATTATAATGAAATTAGTTACAGCTTCAAACAGTTCCTATCAAAAAGACAAATATCTACAGTGATAACTATCAGTGTCCTACTTCGGGGGTAGGCAACAAAATCTATATCTATGATATGCTCTGGGTAAAATATCTGACAGGATAGGAGAAATAAACTCTCTATATACATCCAAAGTAGCAATACTGGATCCATAATTATGCAGAAGAAAATATAACAAAGAAATCAAATTTGAACATACAGAAAGAAAACATACTCTTATTGCTCGTATTAACATTTGAATAGAGAAAACAAGACTTTCACAAGAAGCAATTTCGGTTTTGAAATATAGATTAAGGAAGATATAAGTATAGACATTTGCAGGCAGAAAGAATAAATTGATTTCAAAACAAAATACTTGAGGGGCATTCTTTATAATGCTCCCTCCTTGCACTTAAAGTCTTTTTTCAACTATTTTACAAAATGTACTTTTACTCTTTTTTTTTCTCCCAATACAAGTATATACGGATATTCTTTTATCTCTATTTCTAAAAGACGAATTACTTTTGAATTTCTTCTGAACATTTAATTTGAAAAATATCCAATGGAAAACAGATTTTAACAAGAACATGAGCTGAGGATTCTCATAAAAACCTATGTTTCTCACAAACTAATGACACATGAGGAACATTGGGTCAACTCTTTGTGTGTAGCCGCCATTATCTGCACTGTTCTTTGATGTTTGCTGTGACAATTCATTTGAATTGGGCTAATTATTGGGACATTGGGATGATGCACCATTTTAAAGGGCCAAAGTCACAGACTGTTTATTGGAAAAGATAAATACCTTATGGATGGTGCAGCAAAACACATTACAGATTGAGATACGAAATTCCTTCATAGCATAGCAGAACTTTACATGAAGATGACTGCAAATAATTTGATCCATAAAGAAGCTAATAATTACATGTATGAGGTTCATTTAGGAAGAAATTAAATACAAAGAGCAATGGATAGAAATGTAGAGTACAATATACTGATCTTCCACAATAATCCATGACTCAAAGATTAAATAAAACTTGAAACATCAGAACAAGAAACAGCTGAATAGAATCAAAATTAAAAAGCAAAAACTCTGAAAAACAGTATGAAAAAAGTTATATACAGGTTTGAAATATTCATTTATATATATATACACACGCAACCGTCTCCCAGCTTTAGCATTCAAATATATCAGATAAAAGGGAGATATTAGAAGCTAAATTCATACGCTTGGTTCAATTATTATATCTTTCTCTCATAAAAAGAAATTTAGAAAGTATAACATTTCAGCAGTAAACTTTCATATTTCCAATGATAAACAAAATCATTTATTATCTGATCATATGCTGAAATATTCAGGATAAATAGGTTACCAATCTATTAAACGTATGTTAATAAATAACCTTTACAATTTCAGCCAAAATACATTATACTGTATACTTCAGACACTTTAAGATAATGAATACCAAACTTGCACAATTTTTGCCTTTATCCACTTTGCAAAAGATGATGCTGAACATTGTAAGCGCATCAAGTTGCCGTAAACTGTTGCCAAATCCATAGTGTAAACCGAAAAGACAATATTTAATTTCTTCAAATAAGTTCACCATTGAATAAGGTCATGAGATTTTTAAATTCAATCTTTGCCACATACAACCAAATGTTATAAAAGGAGAAAGAGAAAGAAACAAATTTGGCTTAACTATATGATTTTACCATTAGATATATTGTTGCAAAGAAATTTTGGGGTAAAATAGATGTAGTAAAATTGATATAGTTGTTTCTACATATTTAATATACTAGAAAGGACCCTGTTACATCACATAAATAACTCATTTACAATTATTTCATGGCAGCTTTTACAACTTGCCTCATTTCGCTATATATATGAACATTTCATTACATCATATACAAGTTTTAACTCATATCCTGCCATAAGGCCACATGCACGCTACCGTTATAGTGTTTTGTACACGTGAGTGCGCTATCGATTGGCTGCTTAATTCACACAGCGAGCCACAGCTTAGCTGCTTTATGCATGCATGCTCGCATTCATAATAGCAGTTATTGTCCTGGATCAGTGTACTGAGCTGAGTGCTTCGCACGATATTATTGATCGTACCATCGCATGCATCAGATTATCTCAAAATAAACTTGGCACAGGGGGGATTTGTGGCTTGGCACAATGGGGATTAGCCCTGTGGCACTGGACTGTATTTATTATGGCAGGATAAGGGTTAAGGAGCAAACATTTATGTGCTGCCACTATCTCTCTGAATGTATCATCTGGGCAACATAAAAAACACCGTCGTAAATAACCTCAATTTGTTTGGCACAGGTATAGTATATAATGCAAACAGATACATCAACATCAACATCTCTTGAGTCTGAAACTCTACCACTGCATTTTTGTAAGCTACAGGAATATACATTTCATAGAATGTTACTGTCAAACTGATAGCTCTCTCTCAATTTTCACACTAAGCATCACTGAAGCATCACTAGAACATACGCAAGGAGTTGGCCTGCTTGATTGAATACATCTTCCTCTTGTTTTCAGTCCGTCCTGTTGACATTGCATAGATATATGCAAATGTTTGCTCTTGTTTTATGATTCATGAAATTCGCTATGCCATGAAAAAATGTCTGCCTTTAGGGTAAACGAGCACTTAATTGTAATATATATTTTATACATTTTCACTCCAGTCAGGGATATAGAATAATCCTTAGTACTCTTATCTATCTATTCACTGTGAACTACAGAACTATTGGGAATACACACCATCATACAATGCACACAATTGCATAATATATGTCTACAAGAAACATTGTATTTAGGCCACAATTGGCTATAAATATGCAAGTATTTCTTTCTTTATTATCTCTTTCCCTCACATCTCTCGCATGTCACCCACCATTCAACAGCTCATAACTTGTCACCATCGTTTAATACTTTGGGTGAAACAGACGCTCTGCCGTCTCCAGCCTGGCAGAGCTGGTAGCTTGTTTTTGTTTAGACTTCAGTTTGCTTGGCAGGGAAGTTCTCTTGGGCGTTCACACTACTGGCATAGTCGCCGTAGAGCTCTTTCCCGATCCGACGGATCTGCGCTTCCACCTGCGGATACTGCTCCAGCACCGACTTCAGATCATGCACCGACAGTGAAAGGACGTCCACGTGGGTTCGAGCCCGGTACGAGGTTCGCCGTGGGACGTCGTAGAGGAGGTTGATGTCGTCTAGGAATTCGCCGGTCTCTAGAACCCTGGCAACACGAGAATGGCTGTTCACTTCCAGCTCTTCAACCTATAAAAAAAAATCATAAAATAAATATAAAAGTACACTTTAAAAATGCCACTAGCATAGAGTGTACATTAAAAATCCTATCAAAAGTATGACTGATATATCACAAATATATCACAAATGTGTGTAAGTGCAGTCTGTCATACATATTGATTGATAGGGGTTTAAGAATAATTGCTTTCACAAGAAGCTTGGATAACCCTACATATACATATTACAACAAGGAATAAGTCACTAGAATTTCTTTTGATTGTTTATTTTTTCGCAAAAAAAAAAAAGACTTTACAGCTTTAATATAATATGTACTCCAATCTACTACAGAAAAGAACCCATTTCGATAGAAAACTGGCCCTCCCCTTAAAAAATCACATCAGAGTCGTTCATTTTCAAAGCAGTGACTACAGCATATTTTTTAATAACGTGTAAATGAATGCCAACTGCACGCAACAAAGGTCCTATGCATATTCATTGAGCTCTGTGTTTAACAGATACAAAACTGTGAAGCGTGTAACAAAAGACGCCAGGTTTTCTCCCCACGGCACATCTGAACGAGTATTAACCTCCCATCTGTATTGAGTACATATTCATCCTAAAAAGTACTAGGAAAATAAAAATAAATGAGTATTCATACCACTCCTCTACAGATGAAGTACATTTCATCTCCTACGTCTCCCTGTCTGACAATCAGATCATTAGGCATGAAGAGAACAGGTTTGAGCATCAGGGAAAGAGCACGAAGGAATGCTTCATCAGCCTCTCGGAATAGAGCCACCTGTATATCAAACCATTGTAGCATAGTGTAGCACAGTATACAAACTTTATAATAGCAATGCAAATAATTATAATAGTCAGATTAATGCTGTTTGCTTTAGCAGAGCTACGATCATAAAGACCTTAAGTATTACAGCATTTGCCGCACATGTGTGGAGAGCAGCAATGTGGATTAATGTCTTGCCAAACAAGGTGGCACATGGAGACAATTTTGAGTGACACAGAGTTTAACTATTGAGTAGTAGGTCCATTATTTAACAAACTCTTTCCCTCAAACTCTGGATGTTATTATAATAATAATAACAATAATAATACTCAGTTTTATATAGCGCTTATTACAATCACTAAAGCGTATCCAAATTTGGAGATTATTACCCCGGCTTTAGCTGTGCTGCCATTACGGCGCTCTAGCTTTCCAAAAAAGTATACCAACCTTCTGTAGATGATCGCCTGCGACATCGAGACTTAGATCAGTCTGGAGACAGAATGGGGCATCTCTGAATAGGATACTCTGATCTATACCCCTGCAAATACAAAGACAATAAAACAATATAAACAAATAACATTCCAAAATATACAAAAGATGCATGCTCATGAACTTCACTTTCAATTCCAGTGCGGTTCTCAACTGACCAAATATGAGTATTCAAGAATACCAGTTGGTTTCATCCAGGTTCCCAGTTACGGGTTTACCACAGGACTCTTCATCGTAGTATCATTATTTTTTACATTATTTGTACACAGAAAAAAGACAATGCCAGCCAAAGTGCCCAAAGTATATTTCAAGACAATAGCAGTAGAAAGGAAGGCTGTATCCAGGCCCTAATATCTCAAAAAGCACATCAAATTTGCAAAACATATTATAAGACTTTTATTGACTCGCACTATACATCGACTTACTTGTTGCGTGCCCATAAGTAGTCAAAGTAGCTGATGACTCGATTCCTCAGCTTACTGTTTAATCTCATGTCCTTCATTTGGTCCTGTGATGGAATGGTATGAAATAATCAAGATAATAGTTAGATCAATCAATATAGCGCAGTTCCTATATGAATATAATCTACTGCGCTGTGATGAAAACAAAAATCCCAAACAATGCTACTTTACGACAAACAATGAAACAAATATTATCATGGATACAGTAATGATATATAACTATGAAATACATTGTATACATCTGTTATACATGACAGTAATTAATTAGGGAAGATTAGAAGCAGACTAAGAGATGAATAATAGAAATGTATGTTTGTCTCTGTACCTTGACCGCTGCAAGTCTCTCCTCATAGCTGACTCGTCCCGACTCTTCGTTTGCGAGGGTGGAGGCGATGTTTCCGAGCACCCAACCAAAGAGTAGCTTTCCAAACACCATCACCATACTTGCAAATACTAGAACCAGAAGAAAAGGAGAAACATATTAAGCAATCACATGTTTTCATTACAGCTAGGCTTCACTTCTAATAATGGAATTCCATTATGAGAAAAAAACTGAGCCCAATGTTTGTGTGACTTAATTCATCTTGCAGTAGGTGGATTGTTTAGACCAGAAAAATGTTATAAGCTGACAGACATTTATTTATGAGAATATTTCCCATAGACCAAAATATGATGACACGTGTCAGGAAACTAAATATAGGCCTTATACATGTATTTTATATCTTTCATCATACATACACATACTATCAACTTTGTTCACCACATTTCACTTTAATTGTAGTAAAGTTTGATTTTGTAAAGTCCCCATTTTCTGTCGTTACCTGAACTCATTACTTCTAATTAAGTCCAGAAATGTTTGTGAGTTTCTGATTCTTTTACTGCCCACGTGGACAAATCACAATAGAAAAAGATTAGTCTTAAAATGCTCCCAAACCGTGAATACAACTATGAATAATACACAACTTCTGAAGCCTCCTACCCAAGTTGTTTCATTTACAGATATCCTGCAATTACCACAAACTACATCTTGCAACACAAAGACTTACCTAGCTCAGGAACACTGTATGCATGGATATCACCGTATCCTGTTGATGTCAACGTAGCCACAGCCCAGTAGATAGTATCACAGTAACGGTAGAAGATGTACGGTTCATTTTCTGTGTAACCTGTCAATGTTCAGATCAAATGGAACTCTTGATTATCAATGGAAACTCAGTGGGTGACTCCTATCCCAGAGATGCCAACCCTATAGGATGGCTGTCAGTAACATTTACCATATTTGGGGTTCTTTGGGGGTCTTTCCGTAACGCAAGACACCGCAGCATAATTTTCGCGCAAAACGTACACAAACACCCAATCACTCTTATAGGCTAGGAATATTGTGTCTTTTTTTAGGTAAACGTCAAACAAATTGCAATAAAATATTTTTCACTGCAATGCATTTTTGTAAGGTCCCCAAAATGACATACTAAAAGTCCAAAAAAATCCAAGTAGTGGAAGTGCCCCTAATTTGCATAAATCCAATTTGGCCGCTATTTCAAGGATTTTCACATATATTTTCACATATTTGTCAGCTTGTATAGGCTGTTGTGGCACTGAAGGAGTAGGAAAAGTGATCTGCTGTACATTTTTTATCAACTAAAATACCCATATACTACAGGTACATCACATATCTGAAAAAAATCCCCCACACATCCACACCCACACAATCCAATATGTAATTTATGCTCAATTTATCACCTCAGCAGATGATGTTATTTCATTATGCACTAGACAAATATCATGTCATTTTAATGATATTGAAAAAAACTAAAATAAAATATTCAGAAAAACTGGCCCTTATGAGTATTCGTACAAACACAAGAGCTGTTGGTAAGGCTATTAGGGGTACAACCTGTACCTTACATTATCCTCATGGTCATTGGAAGTTGTTCTCAGTGTAACAGTTTACTTAAGTTTAGAGATCTGACAAATAGTACATTGCATGCTAATGGCTCATCACAGTACAATTATCCATATTACTGCGGTATTTGTGCTCTCTAGTCACTATTTTTGTCAAATATCCAACTAAGTTAGACCCGTAAGCTTTTATTATGTGATATCCATGATGCCTAATTCATAGTCATTCACTGCAAAACTTTAAAGTAGAACACCCAATAATAGTTTCATTATAATATCGATGGAAAGCTTATAATGTGCAGAATACAATACATTTTTTTAATTAAGACATCAGAATCAACTAAGGCACAATAACCAATCAAAGTTTGTTACTACACCCCCCCTCCTCCTTCATCTAAGGTCATTCAGAGGTCAAATTAAGCCTGTAATTCATGACGCCACAGAATGTACACCTTTCTTGATCGCTGATCTATGTAGTGCTACAAAAGGCAAGCCTACACATGAATAGGAAGGGGGCTTTAGTTGTTGCTGTGGTACTGATTGTGCTACTCTAGTTGTAGTAGAGATATGCATTAAAAGAAATGATACTTGGTCGCAAAATGTGTCTGGAAGACTTGCGTCTGTCGATGATCTTCCCGCAGTTGATGCAGTTTACCATAAACTATGCATGGTGAACTTTAAAACTAAAAAAAACAAATACCAATGGTATACTCTGTGAGCACAAGCACTTCCAAAAAGGCTAAAACTGGCCGAACTAAATATGAGGTGAAATTGACTGCATTCTTAAAAATAGTTAAGTCCCTTGAGGAAAATGATGAGGAACAAACAACAGTAGTTGATTTTGTTACTAAGATGCAAGAGTATTTTCTGGATACAGATCATGATGCCGACAGTGGGGTAGACCTATAGTATACATGAAAAAGAAAATAAGTGGCACTTAGGTGAGAGGATTGTATAACTGAACTGAAAGGAAACCATGATGTAGTTACATTTCGTAGCACAGCTAGTGCTATTTTGTATGATTTCCACAAGCAGCCAAAGAACAACACACCAAAGCAGGAGAAAATGAGGATCATCAAGACTGCTGCCTCACCGTATAAAGAATGACGTCAAGTTATTAAAAGAAAATTACAAGTGACGTGTTTACCTGCATTTCTCACAGATTCCCTGCAACTGCTATTGAGGAACATGTTTGTTGGCCAAAAGGTAGATTGTGATGCTGGCATCTATTGGGCAAGCCATAATGCACGCAATGGCCCGAATTCACAAAGGAGGTTTAGATTTAACCCAGGCTAAATCTAACCCTGGGTTATTTAGCCCAGGCTAAATCTAACCCACGGTTTAAACCTCGCTCGGTATTCACAAAGCGTGGGTTAGATAACCCATGGTCTAAATCTAACCCACGGTTTAACCCACGGTTTAAGCATGCCTAAGAGAGCAAAAAAATAAACTGAGCATGCGCAGAATTGAAGCACTGAACTGAGCATGCGCGCTCAGAACACTTGGTTACTCCACCTAGTACACCGTCGTCTGCTAAGTCCAGATTCAGTTGTATTCAGTCAGACCGCAGCCGGTGCGAAAACCCTCTATTTTATTCAGCACGTATGCAAGAATTTACGTGTCTTGCATACGTAATGAGTAGTGCAGACGGTCTTCCCGATCGGCAGTTTTTGCCTTTATAATTGTTCATTTCTCATGAAATGGGTCTTATTTCAAAGATAAGAAGTTGCACTCTCCATATACTTATATGACGATCATGTTTGATATATTTTGGAAACAGATATTTCGCCTTGAAAATGGGGTTTTTCGACGATAAATCTATCTAAAGAGTAGGGCTGATTTTCACATAGAAATCATTCTTGCGTCAAGAAGATGTTATAATCAGCATAAAGCATAAATATTTTTCTTTACAATGATATCAAAATTATTATATTTTACGCTGTACCAAAGTCAGGAACCAAGAAAAATCACGCGAATGTTCATGAATAATTAAAAAAAGTAGTCAACTTTGCCGATGTGATAATAGAGCGTTCTGATTGGCCAAATACGTCAACTACGTCACATATGTTCCGCTTTGGTTTATTAACATTCTAAATACCAAATTTGAGTAAGCATTCCTTGTGGCGTGCGCCTGTAATGCACGTGCGCGCAAGCAGTCATGACAACAATCTGAGGACCCTGGATCAATTACGTCACCTGCCTTTCAAATAATATTTTTCTACATTATTTCTTTTTTAATCATTTTTCTTAATTTTTTTTCGGCCAGTCGGTGGCGCGGCGGAGCTCCCTGGAGTTTAATAATCAGTTATGCATTGCCATTGCTCAAACGGCGAGCGTGCACGAGTATGAAATCACACAATTTCGTGCCATCATATAGAAAGAACAAATTGGTAATTTCCGGGTTTTTAGGGTCTTAATTACTATGATTATAAAGAGAACAAGATTTTGCGTCAATTAGGTTTTGACATTATTTTGATCAGTGACTTTTCATCTTTCCAACGAATCTCAAAGTAAACAAATTAATTATGTACCAAAGTCAGGAACCAAAAGCGAAATTTCGGGTACAAAATAGCTGTTGAAATGTTACAAAAATAACGACAATAAAAGTGATGAAAAAGGATCGTTTCAAAATTGTGAAATATGGCAAGTTTCGTATCAAACTGAAGCTGAGAATCTCGAGAGTAATTACCGTTGCGTGCTGCCATGTTGACAGAAGTTATCGACCACAAAAGCAGCTGCATGTACACCCTTACAAATCTCACGGAAAATCTCGTGAATTTCAGCACACGTGAATGTACGAGATAACCAAAGAGACGCTGAATAAAAATCAGCGTATAGCCTCATTATCGCGCACGCTGCGGTCTGACTGTATTTGGGCTATTACTCTTCGCCTACAAGTAGAGACTGAAAACCGACCGATTCTAAGTTGAGATAAGACTTTAAACCACTATTCACATACTAAAACAGTTCTCTGACAGATGTCCTCAAAATATTATAGAATTTCGTATAAATTACCTCAATAATTCCTCACTATCGTTGTTAATTTATGGCCTATAATCGTCCGACATAATTATGATCAGCTGATGGGCATCACAACACACTAAACATCGACAGTTTTCGTGGAAGAGTCCACAAAAAACTTCTGTAAACGACCCTTATACCAGAGTGAAAATTTTCTATGATGTAGTGTTCATTTTAGAGCTATATGATCACATTTTCGTTGATTGTTATGATGATTTTAGAGCGTAGGTCACACTTTAGTTTAGCAATTAATCAATCCGAAGTAAGAGTAGACTCGTGTTATATATAGCGTAGACTCCGTAGAGGCAGCGAAAGCGATCGATGACGTTTAGTCCAGAATGTGTTGATGATGTAGAAAGAAAGGGCTGAAAGGTTACGATAAATACTATCTGATAGAAAATACTGGCATTAATGCATAAAATGCATAGATGTATTGAGAAAAAAAACGGGCTTACTGGTCACATAAAATAGGAGGACAGCAAAAACAAGGCAGTCTTGACATGTGATAAAGAATTATTAGGCCTAATTCGGGGGGGGGGGGGGGGGAGGGGACATTAATTGTTTTCTTAGGGGATGGGTTTTTTTTGTTGAGGGGGGGAGGGGGGGTTAATTTTGTTCTTAATTTTTCATAGGGGGAAGGGGGCATTAATTGTTTTCTTAGGGGGGGGCTTTACTGGGGGTGGGGGTAATTTTGTTTTTAATTTTTCTTAGGGGGGAGGGGGCATTAATTGTTTTCTTAGGGGGGGGGGGCATTTATTTTTTCTGAATTTGTTTATTTGCTGTATTAATTCTTTTCTTAGGGGGGCGTTCATTTTTTTTCCTTAATTTTTCTGCTTTATTGAATTTCTCAAGGGAATAGTGATTTAAACAAAAAGAAAAGAACTTTTTTGTAAATTTCGTCTCTATTTCTCACTCTTTCACCTTCCTTGTATTTGTTTGTTGTCTCTCTTTTTCACCACCTCTCCACCCCAACTCTCTCAAATATCTTTTTATTTCGTTAGCACTCCATTTTTTTAAATCCCTCTCGTACCCCTTTTCTTTCTCTTTTTTCTCCACCTCTCTCTCTCACACATACCCTTTCTCCTTCTTTCTTCATCTCTCTCTTTATCTTTTGCTCTCTCTGTGTGGGTGTTTGGATTTAGCGAAACATACCGAATCCATTTTAATTCATGGTGTGTACTGGGTAATTATAAGTAATAGATAACAGCAAATGGTATATTAATAATTGAACAAGATAAACAAAGTA